TAATTTGTAATTATAGGAATTAATCTAAAAACAATAGAAATACGATAAATTATGAAATTCCTGGAATTATCTGTAATTACTGGAATTCTTTTTAGAATTATCGGAGTTTTTTTTAGAACTATCAGAATTAATTTGGTATTACAAAATTTTTTTTTGGAATTACGAACATTAAGTTAAAATTACGCAAATTTTGCTGGAATTGCAATAGAATTTCGATGGATTATTAGAATTACTGTAATTTCGGTAAATTTTCTTTTCAATTAGAAAGTTGTACATTTTTTTAAGTTAACGGCCCCTCGGAATAAAATTATAAAAAACACCTTCAGCTGGGGTGATTTTCGTCGAATTCACCAATTTCGCAAAATAGCCCAAAGCGGTGACCTCGTCCCGGTTCATTCTCTGTTTGATGAAATCCAGATGCCAGGAAATTGAGTGTGAGGTAGCGAAAAGTGTATGCAAATAGGGCCTCAAAATCGGTGCCAGACAACGCTTATTCTGATCCATGGCTCTGTAAAGCCACTTAAGTGTCACTTTGACTAAACTCAAATCATCCTCAAAAGTCAAATGTGACGTTTCCTTGTCTTTCCGAATCGAGTCGATGAGTTTTGAGGTGTAGGAATTGAATTGGACTTTGATTTTTGGTCGGTTTTTCACAGTTGTTGGGTTTGTTTGACTCGACAAGTATTTATCTCTAGCTTGGTCCATGATTGTCACCAAGAGATAAATGACATCCTCTAGATGACTTTCCTCAACATTTGCCTCAATTTTGATCACTGGATCCTCAACCATGTAGGTCTCACTCTGCGAAAAATCAAAATTTAGTGCAAAAATCTGACCCAACTGTAGACTAAATACCGCCAAAATTGCTTGTTTGACATTTAGTAAATTTTGCAAGAGCAACCCTATATATTCCAGTTGACGCCCTGTATATTCAGTGTGGGCAACTTCCCTACTGTTGGACCCTGCGAAGCAAAAACGCCGGGCTCTAGTCCCACTCGGTGGCAAAAGACTGTCAATAAAATCCTTCCACTTGTAGAGTAATAAAGTTTCGCTCTCTTGTGCCGTAATGACTTTATTAAACTCTTGGTCGTTTCTTGTTGACATTAACGCTTCATCAAACAGTCGAATAATGTAAGATTTTACGTTATTTGCCTCTATTATGTAGTCATCTTCGCACAAATGCCCCGGATTGACCAACAAATTTGACTTTTTGAAAAAATAATTGGCGTAGTTTTGCTCGCGCAAAATCTCGATTGTTTTGTCCAAAATTTTGAGGACGTGTGTCGAGAGATACATCGGCGACCACTCTAAAAGGTCATCAGAGGGTGTCGTTGAGGCCTCCTCAAGTCTCCTAAACAGCATTGTTAGAAAAATGTAGCGATTTAGAATTTTGTAAGATGATTGTTTTTTCATTTGACGAATTTTGGCAATTTCGTCCAAAGCGTCGAAAAGTACGTCGAGGATTGTTCGGACGGTGCTATTAGGGCCGTAATGATTCAAAATTGTGTCCTGGGCGGCCGGGAGGCGGATTTGCCATGCCGAGGACTGCACCCCAAACCCTATCAAGTACATTCCCTGAAAAAATGGGATTTTTGACAACAAGAAACAGGAAAGTCAAAATGGCCGTTATTTTGAACAAAATGGATTAAAAGACAAAGATGAAAATGGTGTTTTGCACGAGTTGAAGTGAGATAGAGAAGTGTTCTATCTCTTTCGACTCTTTCCCCAATCAAAATGACGACCATTTCGTCTACGCTCTCTATTTTTGGCTTTATTTACAGAGTGATTTATTCAAAAACACAACCAATTTTATGTTAAACATTCTAAACATCAATAGATTCATAAAATAGTCATAATTTTTTATCATTATGTTTTGTGCATTTTTAAATATTAGAGAAAAAAGCTTTAAATATTAATTTATGTGTTTAATAAAATACAATAGGTAAAAAATCGTAGAAGTTAAATTGTAACTAATTAGTAATTACGCAAAAGTGTCAACATTAAGAACGATTTTGACTAATGTAAGTATACAGGCTGCGCCGGAACTCGCACTCCAAAGAAAAATGTCATGTAACGTAAGATACCAGGAACATAGAAAAAATGTTAAAAAAATTCAATCTACAAAAATTTCGAAGTTATAGAAGTTTAAATTGTTGGAAAAATAGTTTTTCAAGTTTTTTTTGCTACAGGTTATTAGAAGAAGAAACAAGGAAGCTGTAACCTAAATTGTAACTCTGTTTAAAGTCATTTGTGGCTTATATTGGCAAAATTTTTGTGCCTTTACTAAATAATTATAAAAAAAAACATATACGAGATCATCAGTATCATTAAATAGACATGAAAAAATGTCATTTTTTTTTGACAGCTAGAATTTTTTAAACATTTTTTCTTTTCTTGGTATCTTATCTCACTTGAAACTTTTCTCTGGGGTGTGAGTTCTAACACACCCTGTATTAATACAAAAAAGTGCTTTTTTTGCATACTATTTTAGATTACTTTACGGACCGTTAAGTTATAAACGTAGAAAAATCTAATTTAAAATCAAAGGAAATATTTTAGAATTACAATAATTAATTTGTAATTAAAGGAATTAATCTAAAAACAATAGAAATACGATAAATTATGAAACTCCTGGAATTATCTGTGATTACTGTAATTCTTTTTAGAATTATTGGAGAATTATTTTATCTCACTTGAAACTTTTCTCTAGGGCGTGAGTTCTGACACAGCCTGTATAAATACAAAAAAGTGCTTTTTTTGCCGACTATTTTAGATTACTTTACGGACTGTTAAGTTCCTTTACTGACAATTTCAAAAAATGTGTTTCTTTGTTTAAAAATCACCTCTAATTTTTTTATAGTTCTAGTTCAATTGGAAGGTGTTTAAGGAGAAAGTAGAGGGTGTTTCAGCGGGTATAATCAAATTGGTCGGACTGCTAGTTTTATAAAAGCCACCCTGTATTATTTACGTACAGTTTGGGCCGCCTGGTGGTACAGAAGACAGTCAGTGTGCCCCAACGTAACCCTTGAGGGGAAATTAGTCGTAGAAGGCCACGAATCGACGCCAATCCCAATCAAAATCCGCACATCTATGGTGATATTGGCCAAAGCCGGTGATAAAAACTCGACTTTAATCCGGGCGCCTCCGGGTTCGTCCACAATGGCTAACCGGAAGTCTCTCGGGTCCGGAAATCGAGGGACGTTTCCGGAAGGGCCGTAAAACACGTGTCTGTTACTTGGTATTTTCAAAATGTGGTACAGTGTGTTTGCATCGACGATTTTTCCCGGAGTTCCACAAAGAATGGACTCGTCGATGTTTAAGGGCGAGTTTGGGGTGTCACTAGCTGAGGCTTGAGCCAAAAGTTCCACTAATTTCGCCTGGACTTTGTCACTAAAAAATTGGAGTAAGTGTTGGGTTTCTAGGAGGAGTTTGCGACTTGACTAATGTTAAGAAAATCACTTTTTTTGTATTAAAAAATATACAAAAAACAACTACATATAAAAATAAAAATAATATCCAGTGTCGAATCAGTATGCACGCCTCTGGTAAAAGTAAAAATAAAGTAAAAAATATGCGCTTTTAGTGGCTCACAAAGCCTGTAAGATTTTATAAAAATAATTCCTTTGATTTTGGAGGAACTAATGGATTTTAATTTTTACCATAGAACTTTATCACCCCGTATATTCGTAACAAAGCTTTATAAAATCATCGTTTATTTGACAAATTAGTATTATTTTTTGATATAAAATTTGTAGTTGCATTTTTTTGCAATAATAAAAAAAGAGTCTGTATATTAAAAAAGATCATACAGAGTGACTAACACGTTGGTAAAATAATTTTTGACTTCAAATGTTAAAATATTTAAAAATTTGTATACAGGAAACACAAAAATTAATTATATTCAATTATATTCAAATTATATCCAAGTACACTGAGTGTTTAAAAATAAGTTTCAATACAAAGTTGTTTTTTTTTTAAAACACCACATTTTTTGCATTTTTGGATTAACTGTTATAACCGATGTTTTACACCAAACATTTATTAGTCGGTTTGGTTTAGTTTTTGAAAAAAAAATATAATTTCTTTGACAAAAACACACTTTTTTCAAAAATCTATTGCACAAAAACTACCAATACTAGAAAACTTCAATTTTCACTATTTTATAGAATAAAACTTTAAGACTGTGATATTTTTTAGCTTTCTGGAATCTCACTCTTGAAGAAATAAAAAAAGTATGTTGTGATTTTGTTTTTTGTCTGATTTTAGCAAAGTCGCAAACAGGTGCATTTTTTTGTATAGATGTTAAAAATCTGTTTTTTGCTGGGTTTTACTTTTTTATTAACCTTTTCTGCTTAATGTTTTTGATATATTTTTTGCTAATTCTAATTTTTTGTTTTATTCCGTATATTTATTTGTTTAGTAAGAAATTTGAAACATAATTCTAAATAAGAAAACAGTCTAAATCAATTTACAGTCTTTTTATTCCTTCATATTTTTTGTATGACTTCTTGTTTAAATTTTTTAATCTAAGAATATGGCATTTTTTTACTCACCGAAGGTCAAGACAAAAATGCTTTTAACCGCTAAAAAACAGATTTGCACACATAATGTAAACAACGTTTTTTCGAAAATATTTATTAATTATTTGAAATACCGTGCGATCAAATAAAAAATAAATTAGAGTAGGCGTCGATTGAATTCTACAGTTGGCAACACATTGGCTGGAAATCTGAGCTAGAAATTTTCCACACAAACTCAAAGTGCAAATGACCATCCACCGTTTCCCTCTTGTACAGCAATAAAAAATGTCTGCTCTAAAGTGAACATTATTTCACTCAAAAGGAATAAAACGCAAACTAGTCAAAGTTTCCGCTGACATTTGATGTCAAAAATCAGGATTGCCATCTGAAGGACTTTAATCACCGCCTACTCTAATTTATTATTTTTTTGATCGCACGGTACTTTAAAATTTAGTTGTCATATTTCTGTCAGTGTGTGAAATGTCGTCTGTGTGTAAAATGACTGTAAAAAAATATTATTTCATGATCGTTCTCTTAGATACATAATGTGAAAACTGGTATATAACTAAATATATAAATCTTTCAACTTATATACTTGATTTGACATCTGTCAAAATTAACCTCAAAATTTTCAATAAATTCACGTTTTTATGAAATTTCGCTGATGATCATGAAAAATGTTGTTCGATACACGTGCGCTGTCTTATTTTTCAAGTTTTCGACCTCCACACAAAATTCGGTCTTAGACCTGAAAAATAATTTGACAGCGCACTTGTATCGAAAATAACTATATTCTTTTAAACAACAGCTTTTACAATATTTTTTTTTTAATAAAATGCATGATATTATGTAATAGTTATTTATATTATAAGAAAAAAATGTGTATTTTTTCCTCCTACAGGTGGAAGTTACTGTCTGAAATTTGTCAAGAATAAGTAACTACAAAAAGAGGAAAAAAATAGGTACTTCCTATTTAATAGGATATAATAGATATAATTTTTTTTACGACCCAGCAAGAAATATTTTTTTTGTGTTTTTCCTCCGCAAAGGGAGGAAAAAACACTTCCCTTCAGTGTAGAGATATAATTTTTCCTACAACCTAGCAAGAAATAAAAAAAATATTGTGTTTTTCGTTTTTGTCCGATTTTAGCAAAGTCGCAAACCATTTGGTGCTTTTACCGGCGTAGAAATCCTGCCGAATTGGCACAATCCCCCCACAGTTTCATGGTGGTGGTGTGGAGGCGCAGCCGAGCATAACCGGGAGGATACTCAGGATCGGCTTCAATAATCGAGTATCGCGGTTTGGGGTCGCTTTCGTAGAGAGTTGGGGTTGAAAGCGAGTCAATCCTGAGGATATACTCCAAGTCAGTTGACGGTAAATTCTGGAAAATTTTCGACTAAAATTGAGCGACTTAACCACCAAAAATCCTACTCCTGCGAGTCTGTCATGATTGGCTATCAGGAATTTGGAGGCGAATCTGGGGTCCAAAATCCCCGCACTGCACACCAGCCTTTGGACCAACCTTTCCGTCACTGACCTTGCCAGTAAAAGCGACTTTTCCGCACTTTGCGCGATTTTCTCCTGCAGCCGTTTCTGGAAAATGTAGTTCAAATTTTGGAGTTGCTCGGGACAGAATCGCAGTTTGGCAGTTGGCAGGATTGCTTCTTCCAATTTTCGCACTTTGGCACACCTTTCTCTGCGATTTCGTCTTTTGAACATCGTTCAACACTGCCACAGGCGATTCAATCGGACYTTTCGTGTTTCCGGACTATAATCGTGTCATTATTACCCCCACTTCACTTCCTATGTTATTATTGTACGAAGCGGAAATGCCCTTTATTGTGTTACACGCGTTTTGTTCGATGATTCTCTACTGAATCTTGCCTGAATTGTTTCGATTAATTATTTTGACTTTTTTCAATTTAGATCTATTAAGAAGGCACGGAATTAAGACGTGCGAAATGCGCAATAACCTACTTAAAAAAGTCAAAGAACTTGGGAATTGGGGGTAAATTACCCCACAATAATGGGAGGGGCATTGATTGTATTATTGCAATTGCAGTATTGATTGGAATAAAGCGGAAATAAATCACGTTTAATTCAAATAGTTTTGCATTGCGGAAGTCATCAAGTCAGCGATAAAAGAGTCGTTGACAGTGAAATGAAAGAAAATTCAGCCGAATTAACTTAATTAACTTCGTCTGAATTCCATTGGAGTTTTTCTTGCTACGTAATCAAGTTAAAATTTTCATTTTTTCATTTTGAAATTAAAATATTGTTGCTGGAAGGTTCGTCGTTAACTTTTTAATTTTTTAACTCAATTTAGAGGACGCAAGTTGAAGGATCAATAATGAATATTTTAATGTAACAAAATTGGGTTTAAATTGTATCAGAATAGCCCATCCGTTACATATTTACTGCGTTTATACAGGTGTCCGAGTGAGTTGAAAACCTCCATTAGTGACCTTTAAATGGTAAAATTAAAAAAACTTATATAGAACATTGATAGATACTAATCTAGTGCATCACCTAAAATTGTTTTCAACCATACAGCATGTCCCAAAAATAAGTTACAATACAAATTTGTGTTTTTTGAAACACCATATGTTTCTTAGCGTTTTTTGGATGTAGTTTTTTTATGACAATGTTTATAAACTGTTATTGGTCAATTTTGCTTAGTTTTAAAAATAAGACTTTACTTTGAGAAAACATGCATTTTTTAAAAATTTATTGAACAAAAACTATGACATCTAAAAATATTTTTTTACTACCGCAAAGAAGAAGGTACAAGCTATAAGGTTGCAAAATTTTTTTAGTGTGTTACATTTGCAAAGATAAAAAAATTAAGGCGTTTGTAAAAAATTAAATAACTTACAAAATTTAAATAGAACATCTTATTAACTGTTTTTGCATTTAAAAAAATATTAAATTGTCTTTCTAGAATTATTTACTTTTAGTTGTTTATAATCAATAACTAAAAATATATTTAACGTTACACATTAAAAAAAATAATTACTATTGTTTCAGTAGCCAAAAAGTGCACAGTTGCACAAGAGATGAAAGAAATATCACTTAATAATAATCACATTTGTGTTAAACTGAATAAATTTTTTAAGTTATTTAACTTTTAACAAACTTCTTAATTTATTAATCTTTACAAATGCAAAACATTAAAAAATTGCTACAGCTTTAAATACTGTACTTTTTTATTTGCAGAAGTAAGAAAACATTTGTTCTAGCTCTCTTAGTTTTTGTGTAATAAATTTTTAAAAAGTGGATGTTTTTGACAAAGAAAACGTCTTATTTCTAAAACTAAAAAAGAAACATACGGTGTTTTACTTTAAAAAAAAACAAATTTGTATCGTAATTTATATTTGGGACATGCTGTATGGTTGAAAATAATTTTAGGTGATGCACTAGATTAGTATCTATCAATGTGCTATACATTTTTTTATAATTTTACCATTTAAAGGTCGCTAATGGACTTTTTCAACTCGCTGGGACACCCTGTAATTTGTTTATTCACTTCATTTTTATTAATAACTAAAATAATTAATTTTTTTGTTGATTTTTTTAAGTTTTTAATTTACATTATTTTTTTTTTCATTTACATTTATGTTTATTTAGTTATTGGTACATTCATATATTGGTATTTGCCTTTTTATTTACAATTTGTTTTACTTATGTTCGTATATCTCGTGCCATTACTATCGTTACATTGGCAACCTTGCAATTGCGTTTTTTAAAATTAAATAGGTCGGAAACATTTGATTTCTATGTAAAAGAAGAATCTATAATCCATTTCATTGAAATTGGCATAACAGTAAGCCATGATTGTGTAAGCCGCGCTTTAAATGTGAAAAAGGCTTTACATATTAAGGAACTAAATTTGTTGAAATGTGAGGTTAAGATAGTTAAAATTCTATTCTTAAAAAAACCTCTTTCAGAGGTTTTCAGAGAGAGTTTTTTCCATGCTTAGCTGAAAGTCTTCCACCATTCGAGAGTTGGTCCGACATCTTTGAATCATRCTSTATATATTTGTACAGTGTGTTCTAAAAATAATTGATTATTTTTATTCTTTTTTCACTATTATTTATCAAAAAAAAAGAACGATATGTTGTCTGAATCATATATGTAACACCTTGATTTAGCTAAGTTTAATTTTTATTCTATTATTATTTCTAGAACATTCTGTATGTCAAGCCCAATTTCAAAAAATACAGAAATAAATTGTAGTAAATCAACTTGTCAGTAGTTCTATTTCTATTTTTTTTCTTATTTATCTGTTTAGTCGTCTTTTTGTATAGATGTAAAAAATTAGTTCTTGGCTGAGTTTTATTTTTTTACCAACTTTTTTTGCTTACTCTTTTTGATATACTTATTGCTAATTTTAACATTTTTGGTAGGTTTCTTCCGTTTGTATATATTTGTTTAATAAGAAATTTGAAAAATTATTCTAAACAAGAAAACAATTTGAAGCAACTCACAGTTGTTTATATTTCCTAATTATTTTTGTTTGATTTTTTGTTTAAATTTTTAAATGCAAAAGTACCGAAGGTCAAGACAAAAATGCATTTGAAAGCTAAAAAACGATTTTGTATACATAATACAAAGTGGTTATAAATGATTTTCATCTAGCCAGCTGTAAATTTTCCATGTAAAATACAAAATGCCGCTTTACGAAAATAGGGGTACCTACTTGTTTTAACTCAAAATTAAAATATCGCCGTTTACTAAGCGTCCACTTCGAAAATAGACTTGTTTTCTTCCAAAGTATACATTATTATCAATTATTATTGGAAATTAGTTGAAACAATAAAAGTTTAATTAACCACAATTTATTATTAATTAATAAGTGACACTAATGACAGAACTAGAGCTTTCAAAAAAAGTACAGCGGCACAAATAAAGTTACATGCAAAAAAATTCTAAAGCTGGCTAGATGAAAATCATTTATAACCACTCTGTATAAACAATGTGTTTTCTACAATATTTAATTTAATTATTTAAAATACTATAAAATTTAGTTGTCATTTCTGTTTTATTAGTGTGTGAAATGTCGGCTGTATATAAATTTTGCGCCCTCAACAAAAAATGACTAAGTTTGCGTATGGATTTTGATAAGTAAGTTTAACTTCACACAAGATTGTAAAAAAATATTTTTTAATTATTTTCTTGTAAACAGTAGTTTTTAAGACAACATTTTTTTATAAATAAAAGGCAAGGTATTACTTAATACATGGTTATATTTATATTACAAGGAAAGAAAGTGTATTATTTCTTCCCACAGGTGAAAGTTACTGGATAATAGACCCCATTTCTGCCTAAAACTATAGGGTGGAAAAACTTTGTTTTCCAGATTTTCATTTTTTTTTAATTTAGCGTGTGGAAAAAGTAATCTATTTTTGCATTTCCTAATCCTATTTTCATAGGATCATCATTACCCAGAGCTAAATATAGAACTTGGCAATAACCGATTTATCCGATGAAACATTTTTAAATAGGTAATTATAAAACTCGATCAGTTTATCTCTACCAATTCAGGATGTTTTTAATATTTTATTATTGAATTTTCTCGAAAACATTTATGTTTACCACACTTTTTTCAAATACTCGCTTCTTAAAGTGTAACTTTAATTATAGAAAAATAAATTAAAAACGTTATCGACTTGCACGCAGCTCAAATAATCACAAAAAACGACCATTCGCTCCATTAAAGAAAAAACAAACCCGACCTTTGCAATAGATAAATGTTATAATAAACAAATCGAATTAAATTGTTTTTATTTATGGCCAAAATCCGCCGAATCACTCATTCATCAATCACCCGCTGTATTACTGGTCACATAAATTCCGGCGCAATCAATCAACAACTGATTAAATTATTGAGCAATTTTTATTATTGTTTATCACACACGAAATTAAACAGAAAAATCAAGTCAGTATAAATCGAAACAACTGATATTTTGACACTCAATCGAAACTATCAACTAGRGTAGTGCGTGGTACCAATAAATCAATATCAAGAGTGCTTCGAAATTTGGCAAAACAAGTGAATTCTAAAATAAGCRCTCAGCGCGTGATTTTGAAACCGACGCCCGTCACGTGCCATTCCGACGCTCACGAGATGTCGCTAACGTCACGATTTTAGCAATGGCGTCAGCAATGTGGTGGTGTTAAGCACAGCTGACTCGATTTTTCCCGTAATGTGTCCTAGTAGACGATTGGTGGTGGTGATTTGGAACAATTGCGTGTTTGTCAAGGCACCCGCGACGCTATGTTCGTATTTGTGATACAAAAGTCAAATTCGAGTGAATTTTTTTAAAGTTATATAATGCACTCGTTGTGGTTAACTGGTAGACTTATATCGCGTGCTATTTTCAATGGAATCAGCAATATTTCAACGGCGGCCGATCCCAATTTGCAGAAAAAACCAGACCCCCAATTGGTTTCGGCCGTTTGTGGCTTCTCAAAGGAGAGGGGAATACAGAGACTGATCAAGGGACAATTCGGGGATGATGCGTGGTTCACAGCAAGACACAAGTCGGCGGATGTTTTGGGTCAGTACATAACCTTTAAATGTGTCACGTGACAGCCTCCCCTCATGCGGCCATTTTTTTTCCCAAACTGGTTCAAAATTCACAAATTTTCCAAACAGAATCAGTAATCAGAAGCTAATTTATGCCGATTTTTGTTTACATTGATATCAAGGATCGACGTCATTTGTTTTCATTGATCTGGTTGGGTAACAGACACGTGTGTGACATTTTTGAGCACACGAAATGAGGATTTCTTCGACAAATTAACACACTTTTTCCTCAATCGATTTCTTTGTCGTCATCAAGGTTTGTTACCTTGGCAGCAGTGGCGTGACAGGGGCAAGATTCAATTTCTTGTCCTTAAATCTGTACTCTTCATAAAAAATAGGTGTTTTTTCTGCTTGTAAAAGTATATTACCACCGGGGTGGGAAATAAGTCATTACCTCGAGGGCTCAGGTTATCTGACTGAGGAGTAATGAAACTCTCCCGAGGTTAAATTTAAATTTAATTAAAACTGTTTGTCATAAAATATGCTTCTCTAACAAAATTGACGCATTGACATAGTAGACTATGCAATCAAATGTCAAAAAATGTATTGTTTACGTTGGTGATCGTACATAAGCTATTTCCCACCCAAGAGATCGAAATAAAATTGTATTTTATATTCGATGTTATTGCTTTTTTAAATTAGATAATTACATTTCATAATATCAATTTTTAAAGAAAGTCATAACGTGTTTTTTTTTTGCAAATTTTAATACCTGACAAAGTTAAAAGTAAGCCCAAATATGACTAATTTCATAACTTTTGTCTATCTTGTGTATGTACCATTCGTTTCATAAAAAACGGGACAAACTAATTTAATTCGTGTTAAAATGTCAAAGTGAACGAAAGGTATAAAATTGATATAATCTATCTTTTTTTCAAGTGTCTTCCTTGTGATAATATGAAAAAACACTGTTTTATCACTAAAGTGACGTTTATCTTACTGTCATTGTCTCGTTTTTTATGAAACCAGTTGTATATTTTGATTAGAGAACATTCTGTAATTAAGGCTAGATTTATCTGTTAAGTTCTCTTAATTTTTTTTTTTTTGGTGACGAATACAAAATTTAAGAGCTTGATAAAACGAAACTGAATGTTATACCAAATGTCTGTAAATGATTGTGACAAAACATTCTATTGGTAACACTGAATTATTAGTAATCTTTCTAGTCTGTGATATCAGATTGTTACAGCTAACGGCTGACAACGGCCGCTCTTCAAGAACAAATGATAATTGACTTTAAAATTATGATATTTGAATTTGAAAGTCAATATTGCCAAATTAAGACTTCAAATTTGTTGTCAACGTGTCGTCAAAAATCACATTTATAGACAGTTGCTAGAAAATTAGAACATATTTTTTTTTAATTTATTAATTTGTCATTTAAAAAAATTACAAAGTTTTAGAGTGATCAACAACTCTTTTGAAACACCCTGTATTTCTCTAGATTTACACTGCTTTGACATAATAAAATACTAAAATAAAATAAAACACTCCATATAATGAAAATGTGCTTTATTCAATAGTGCCAACTTAATTGAAAAACCCAGGCCACTTTGGTTGTGAATATAAAGTATGGAAGCAAGCGTTTTTTTGCCTATAAAAAACAAAAATTAATATAAATTAAAGTAATATAAAAAATATGATTGTATTTTGAGAACGAAATTTTGTTTTGTTTTTGAGTTATGCGTTTTTTTTGTAAAAATTGCAATTTATGTAAAAAAATTTTTTTGAAAAAATTAAATATGTATAAAGTAGATAGTTGTAATTTTTAGTTCATAACCTTCACGAGAAAAATAGTTCTATATTGGGTTGCCATTTAAAAAAAATAAAAATTTTGGAAAAGTCAATTCGAAAAATTTTGTTCTTGATAAAACATTACATTTTTATAGTACTTTATTATTACTATTATTATTAATCGTTCGGTCATTCCCCTATTCCCAGGTTTGGTTACGCCACTGTGTCACAACCAATGAATGATTTTTTTCCCAGGCTTAGTCAATCGTGAAATTACCAAATTTTTTCGCTTTTGTGTCAAAATAACGCAATTTTCGCTCTATTTCTTTCTTATAAAAACAAAAAAAGCTGTAATTCTATAGTGAAATATGATGTCAGCACATTATTCACGCAATTGTGGCGTATTTACAAGTTTCATCACTTCGGAGTATCAAATTTTGCATGAGATTCTTAAATTTCAATACTGAATTATAGTTTAAAAACATGTGATTTTGTACTATTTTTTACTGTTATTTCTTAGTTTTTTGTGATTTCTGCTATAGATTACGTAATGCCATCGGGACCTTGTCCCTCGTGAATTAAAAAACAACATTATTATACTCTTTTCATATTAATATGCATCAAGTGGGTTGTAGAAGTGTAAATGCATCTTTAACTCAAAGGGCGATTCACACAAAAAGTGTCATTAATGTCATTCAGAACAAATTTAATCACATCAATAATGAAAAAATAATTTTAATTATTTTTTGCTACTTGGGGTACAGATTTATTGTCGTAATTACTCCCTAGGATTTAGGGACATTTGTGAATAGGTTGCCATAAAATTGGTTAGGTTGGTTTCTGGTGACAAACAAAAGATATCGTCACTAGTGTCAAAATTTAGGTTAAGTTACCTGTCAGTTTGTATGCATAATTTAATTGATAGTTGACAGCAGGTTGACATAAAACGTCAACAAGGGGTAACCAACCTTAGGCATACAAAACTGAAAATTACAAACAACATAAAAAATGTAACTTTCCTAAAAGTTCAAATCCTAGGTGGTAATTTCTTGTTGACAAATCTTGTATTTGAAAAAATAATTTTTAGGAAAGATTGAGGTTAGGATTGTTTGAATTCTTGCATGGTTGTCACTTTCAAATGGCCCCTTTCAACGACTACTTCGATGCACAAATATGAAAACGAGTATAGTGATTTCAGTTTGGGGTCTGGGGCTCTACATAACGTCTAATCCTTGCAGGTGTCGCTGACGGTGTCGGGGGCTGGCGGGCCTACGGCATAGACCCCGGCGAGTTCTCCCTCCACTTGATGCGGACTTGTGAACGTCTCGTCAAATTTGGCCGTTTTACCCCAACTAACCCCTCGGAACTCTTGGCTAGGAGCTACTGCGAATTGTTGCACCACAAAAAGGCCATTTTGGGTACCTTGTCCAGGCTTGCCACCTGTTCGTTGTTAAAAAAATGAAATGTTTGCAGGTAGTAGCACAGCTTGTGTTGTTATACTCAATAAGGATAACAATACTTTATACACCGCAAATATCGGAGATAGTGGTTTTATGGTTGTGAGAAAAGGCCGTGTGATACGTAAAAGTGAAGAACAGCAGCATTATTTCAATACTCCGTTTCAATTGTCGTTACCGCCGCCTGGATATCAGGCCGATGTCTTGTCCGATCAACCGGACTCCGCCATTACGGATAATTTTCCAGTCGAGGATGGAGATGTTATTCTGGTGGCCACCGACGGAGTTTTCGATAATTTACCCCAAAATCTACTCGTCAATGAGCTGAAAAAGGTTTGCCAATAAAAATGACATTTTGCACGACTTATTTTAGAAGTTGGCTATGATAAACAAAAGTTATATGACAGTTGTGACTTTTATTTGACACAGTCGACTCAATTTGGAACAAATATACAACTTCGCTATCGCCACTATTTATAATTTAATCAAAACAAAAACATTATAATTTATGATGCCGTTTTTTCGTAGTTTACACCAAGTTAGCTAATTTGTGTTTTCTTCCGAGTGGGCTTTGGACTGTTACAGGGCCTACTCTGGCTACTTTTTCAATTGATTTTTTACACAAAATGCTTATTTAATGTTTTAGTAGAATTTGCAGGTGAATATTTTACACGCAAAAGTTTTAAAAATTGTAAAATTCTTAGGTAATATTTAAATGGAAGGACTTTTTGTCCACTATAAATTGTTTATTTGCCCGTTTGATTTTTTGTTGTCAACGATAGTAACAGTGCATTAAAATTGTTAAATAAAATATCTTGGGAATATATCGTTTATTTTTAATTAGCATTTATATATCGAAGCACTTATTTTTTTTTATAATATCATTATTTTTATTTTTAAGTCATACAAACGAAATCGAAAAGCAATTCTATCAAGCAAGCGTGGAAATTTATAACGTGTGTCTGCGAAAGATAAAATGTTCCAATGACAAATGAGAAATGTCAAAATAACAAATATCTCATTTTAGGATGTTTCATCGAATAATTCAACTTGCTTAGATCAATAATTTAGTTTTTATAAAATAATTTTTTGACATCTAGGTAACATACGAACTGCTATGCGACACACGTTTTCAACTAGTGGGCCTACTTAATAGAAGGACCTTTTGAACCGTAAAATTCTTTGACAAAAATGACTTTTGACAATAAATTGTCAATGACAAAGCTAATACAGTGGCAGACACGGAATTTTGGACATGAAATTTATCTCATTTCAAAAAATGTCAATGTAAGCCACGCTTTATTGTCATTATGATTGACGTTTGAAACTCAATTTTGAAAATTTTAGTTCAAATTTATTTTTGGCGTCCATTTTCTATACAGTATTGTCAGCAATACGTTATTACTTTGATTTATTGTCATTTTTTCTCTGGCTATCAAGATAAAAATTACAAAAACCGAAAGTGAGGTTAGTTGTCTAAGGCCCGTTTTACATTTTTATGTCAGTCGAATGACAAATCGTCCAAAATTCCGTGTCCGCCAATTGGAATTTTCACTCTAAATACTTTTTATGACATTTCAAAGTTTTCAAGAAAACTTTCACTGAAACTTTTCAAGCTCATAACACTAAATGTAGTGCAAAATATACATTTCATAATGTTAATTTAACTAGGACGAGGTGTTTTGGGGGTGCAGATAAAATTTGAGTCACGTGATGGTTATACAATTGCAATTTTTTCGTTTTTATTATAATAGTAGCTTAAGTAGGCTGTGATTCGCAAATAAAGTTTCCAACACTGATTTAAATAGAGACAGAAGATGAAATGACATGTTTCATATTTGCTTTATTTATTCTTAAGCGTTGCCAACAAATTTTGTTTTTTTTGTCAGCTATGGTCGTCCAACACTTTCATTTTTAATTTTTCATAGCCCACAGCCTTCCTTGATTCAAAATTATAAAATTTTTGTGACAATTGAGAGTCGACTCAAACTGACAGATACCGGTTCCAATTATGTCATGGCCATCTTGATTAAATATTTAATGGAAAATGCCGCAATTTTCAAATATTTTGTCATTTTGTCCAATCAACGACTTGACTTTTTGGTGCTTTCGCTCACCTCCAATATCTAAATGTGTTTATAATTGATAAATTTCYACAAAAACYAAATCATATTTGTGTCATAGCCAACTTGGATTAACATTTTTTCCGCTTTCYTGCCAGCAATACCAAATTATATGTTGCTTTCTTTTGAACAAAAACCTAACGGTAGATTTATTTTACGTTGTGTGACTTGAATTTCTCCCAATTTGCGAATAATATTTTTTTCTAGGTTCAAGGCGAGCGTTGCGCTAGCCGTCTTCAAATGGTGGCGAATTCCATTGCTTGGATGGCTCGCAATTTATCGTTTGATGAAACGTTTTTCTCTCCATTCGCCCAAAGTGCTTTTGCCAATGGTATCAATACTATCGGTACGTAATCACCCGAAGAAATGACAAAAATTGACTGAATTTTTTCAGGCGGGAAACCGGACGACATAACCGTTTTGTTGGCAACTGTTGCAATATGAAAATTTAGGCAAAAAACTGAATCGGTTCCTTTACTGCTAATTTTTTATTTACGGATGCTTGTAGGGAAATTTTCAAGTGCTATTAAGACGTTTTAAGTGATTATGAAACCAAATTTCATAAAACCTAATATTTAGGTTTTACCGTGTTTCACTTATTTTTAGTTAGGTATACTCATCACTTGTTTTATTTGTGCAAAACTGTGAATTTTTAGTTTTAATAAATAGTTGTTACAAGTAGCTATGATAAATTCTTTTATTAATAAACAAGTATTACAAATTAATTTTTGGGGGTATTTTACACTGGCTAGGGTTGGTATCACTGACGATTCTCTTCGGGATTCACCTCCTGATTCTGGTTACCCCAGTCGAACCCCCCGGGCCGCTCCTCAGGCGGGGGGGCGTAGTCCGGGTCTTCAGGTATTTCGTCAAATAGCGTACGCCTAAAAAACATTGAAAATAATTACAAAAATTATTATTATTTTCATTACATAAAATGCGGCGTTTTAAGTATCCTAAAACCCCCTCTTTGGTTTGGAAAAACATCCTCTATAAAATAATAAATGTGTCCCACTGCAATTCCCATCAAATCGACATAGACTGCATTTCCCAACAAGAGCGAAAACCCCAATAAAACCCAAGGTAAGTAAGGAGCTTGGAAATTTAAAAGGCCGAAAAAGTTCATCCTAACGTAAGGATTGCGCCGTGACCACACATAAACCAGCATTATTGTGAAGGCTTGTCCCAGAAATAATAAGTTAACAAAAAATGCAAAAATCTGGGCCCCATTAAGGACAATAACTGTCTTCCACAACGAAAAATGCTTATTTGAAAGGATACAATCATGCAGACGCCTCCAAACAGGAACATCATCACAAAATCAGCCGTCCTGTTCCTGAACGACCCCTCCTCAAGCATCCTACAGTACCTATAAGTGAAAATCATGTTGAAGAAAAAATTAAAACCAAAAGTTCCAAAAAATAGGAATGTTGTGACTAGTCGCCATAATTGGCCCTGTTTCAGTATCAGGATGGGGTTGAAATACAGCTGAAACGGCGACGCCAATTCTAATTGCTGAAACAAACCAGAATTAGTCAAAAACATAACACAAATGCAAAACTTACAACAGCGAGGGTTGTTATCACACATGCTGTCGTGTATGCCCTTGTCACGGGGGGCATATGCAGGTATTCGTTTCGTAAGGTCTGATACGCCATTTTTGGGGTAACTATCACGACTTGGCCATTTTAAGTGGAAAATCAGATTTTGAAAGCCACATCAGTACGAGAAATTATCTTGTCAAATTTTGACATTGTTGACATTTCGCTTGATTTTGGTAACTTCAGTTTCACACAGTTGGTGCCAAAGCCCCAAACTGTGCGAAATTAAATTGAATTGGGATAAACAAACACATGGGGATGTATTCCAGTCGCGAAAAGTCTGTTTATAATTCTAATTCTGGCTTTGTTTAGTTTTAAAATCAGCGAGGAATGTTTACGTTGGCGAACCTGTCCGCATGCGCTGCGATTTTGTTTAACTAACTGTCAAAATTTTTCCAAATAGTGAAATAACTTCCTAGTGGTTTTGCGATGGTTTTAACTAAAGAATATCGAATTTGTATGCCTATCACCATTGAAGAGGTCAGTTGGTACTGATAATTGATTTTTTTGACTTGATTTTTGTAGTATCAAGTGGGGCAACTTTACATGATTGCGAGGCACAGTTTGGAGCAATCGGGGGATGGGGAAGGTGTTGAAGTGGTTGAGAATAAGGAAATTCACGATCCTGAACACGGCAAAGGCCAGTTTACTGAAAAAAGGATCCACTTATCAAGGTATAAATAAAAAAAAATTMMAGCGTGTAATGAGAGTTTTTTGTAGTCGTTTGCCTTACTGGGTCCAGGCGATAATACCGAAGATATTTTACGTAACTGAAAAAGCGTGGAATTATTATCCGTACACAATAACCGAATATACAGTACGTGTCAATTTCTTCTTGCAAATTTTTCATTGATTCGTTCCAGTGCTCGTTTATTCCACGTTTTCACATTGAAATCAAAACCAAGTACGAGAATAACAACGGTAGCACGGAAAACGTGAGTTTGGTTTCAGGAAATCGGGTTTTTTTCACTTGTGAAAATTTCAGTGTCTTAATTTGACCCCTGAGCAACTTGCTGAACGTCTAGTTGACCATATTGACATCGCCTATGATGAAGTGAGCCCCAAGCACTACAAGGAGGAAGAAGACCCGCGTTATTTCCAGTCGAAAAAGACCCAAAGGGGGCCCCTAGTCGAGGGCTGGCGGGCGAATTACACCCCAATCATGTGTTCTTATAAGTTAGTTAATGCCTCGTTTGAGGTTTTTGGTCTCCAGACTAAAGTAGAGGATTTTATACACTCGGTATTTGACGATTTTTGTCAATTTTTTTTTTCTAATTTGTGTTTTAGTGTATTCGTGAGGTGTTGTTGTTGGGGCATAGACAAGCCTTCGCGTGGATCGACGAATGGATAGAGATGTCTTTGGACGACGTCCGGAAATACGAGGCGAAATTGCAATCTCAGACCAACTCCCTCCTCGTTGATAAAGTCGGCGGTGGAGATAGCACCCCCCAGACGTCCGAGTCGCCTAAAAGCCCCAAATCGCCCCAGAAAAAGGGCTATTTTTCGTGGTTCTAGCATCAGGAGGTTACGTTAGAAGATTGTTGCGTTTTTGTCCTTTTTATGTTACTTCATGTTTAGTTGCTTTTGTTTAAACTAGTCAAATGTGTTTTTTGTGCGTCYTTTGTTATCGCTTGACGTTTAGGAAATTTTAGTTTGAGTTAAGTGGCTGATATTTAACGAATTTTAGGTGCACTGGACCAGGGCTCGTTTCTCAACATTTTTGTATGTATGTAGTGTAGAGGTGAGAATAATTGTTGTAATGGGGATTTTTTGTCCCCAAACTTCCTTATTTATCGTGATTAAAACGTTATATTGTTGGAAAATAAATAATTCACACTAGAAACTCGTTTTATTTGACCCTGGCCCAATATAGTAAAAATTTTAAATACATTGAATTTGATAAAGACAATTCGCATTTGCCGTATTTATTCATTCTTTTTTGCCGATAAAATTTGTTATAATTGACCAAACAACAGTTAAATCGTTTTTTGCTACGATAAGAAATACCGTTTTTAAGGTTGTAGTATAGTTGCTCCATAAACGCAAGATGGCGCTGATAAAAGATTCATCATAAAGCAAACCGTTAATAAAAAAATTAAAATTTTTCAATAATTATACCGGGTGAATCATTCGCACACCCACCAAAACATTTTGCATAATTCTTAAATTTTGATTTATCACTAGTTGGTCAAACAAAACAATATTTGCAAAAAAAAAGGACACTTACTTTTTTTTTAATGAACGGATGTCAGGAGCAGTGCTGCCAGATGTTGGTATGTGAAATTCCCTGTCTCAGGATCGTAAAAATTTCTTGTTCGGTCGTAAAATTCCCTGCACATCCCTACTTCCGCGAAATACAAATTAAAAAAMAAAGTAAACATTGTTTTTATTATCACCCAAAAAATTTAATTCTAATTTTTATACTGACCTACGCAGATTCACTTCCTACAATTGTTTACAAAATCAGAAAAAAAATACCAATTAGATTTTGAATTAAACGCAATTTTCCATCTTAACTTTGAAAATCATTTTTATTTATGACCTGCTAACTTGTGCCATCGTAAATTTAGGTGACAATGAGGAACTGCAATTGGGGTAAGATTCCAAGGTTTACAACAAAAGGACCCTTTAAAGCGGTCGGCTACCAGTAAATGATTCTTTTGTTGGCAAATTATACCATTTTGTCATAAATCACGGGTCTGGTTTGTGTTTAAATAAAAAAAAGCGATTATTTGGCTAACCAAGTCAAAATTTGAAATTGTGATATCAAAGTTTGTTGCGCTGACAGGTACAGATTCATTTAGTGTAAAAACTTTATGGGTAAATTAACAGAAAGTATTCATAAAACACACAAAACTGTTACGGACTCATTTATTACCCAAAAAAATTAGAAAAATTCTCAAATTATACCCTATCAATAATTAGTTAGATATATGAAATATCGCCAGTTTTAATTAATTTGAAGTCGTGATTTATCAAGTGCGCGTAACCGATGCCCACCCGGTAGGTAATGCAGTTTAACTCAATTTTCCTTTTTTACCTTTTTTTCTAAAACTTTGTCTGTAAAAAGGTAAATTTGCCTCATGTGTTATAGATTATATTCTTGACTGTCATATTTCTGACAGTAGTGGTAGTATTGAAAAAAAATTATATACAACACGGTTAAGAAGATTTCTATAGCTTTGCATTTATTATATAGGATGTTCCGTTTTTATTGTTACAAATTTAAATAAAAGAGGGAAAATTCAATTTTAAGACAAAAGTTTTTTTGTAAACATCTTCCAAACTATGCTATGTAAAGAAGCTACACCCCCAAAAATGGATACGTTTTTTGAAGGGTTTTTTTTCCAATATTTCAGAATAGATAAAATTACAAGATTTGGTACAGCTAATATCTTTTTTACACCTAAAAGAATTCCAAGATGAAATGTCGAAACAAATTTTTACGCAATACATTTTTTTTAAGTGAAAAACTATGAAATTTAGAATTTTGTTGCTGAAAGAAAAAACTACGGCCAAAATAGTTAGAGTACTTTTACCCTAAACCCACCCAGTTTAAAAACCCCTGATTAAAAATTCACAACAATTTATTTTTTAATTCGTTTAGGTGTATAAAGGTTATCATTTTTTAAGGTCATCAAATTTTGTAATTTTAACTATAACGATTTCGAAAATATTGGAAAAAACTTATTAAAAGATGCACCCCTTTGAGGGGGTGTAGCTCTCTTGAGTGCCATTTTTCGATACATGTTTATAGGAAACTTTGGTTTTAAAATGGAATATTCTATCTCCTGTTTAATTTTCTAATAATGAAAAACGGAACGCATCTCGGGTAATAAACAGCTCGGCTAAAAAAACAAAAGTATATGTTCAAATATTTTTCAATTATTTTTGCTTTATTTAAAAGAGTACGCTTTTGTCGATTTATTATTTTTAAATTAAGTATAATAAAAATGTTAAGGTTAATTAAACTTAAATTATAGTTAGGCATTTAAATTTGTGTTTTAAGAGGGTGTGAATAAACACCAGCGTAACTGATTTTTTGGTGCGTTAATTTTTTTAATAATTTTTTTAAATTAATTAAATAAAATGGAAAAATTAGCATTTAACGCCACGTTATTTATCCAATGTTTTATTGTGACTTTATCCCCACAATCAACTCTCAAATTCAATTTAGACTTCATAATTAATTTCCATTTTTCATTATACAAAAACGCAAGTTTGCGTGTATCGTTTTATGTTCCTGTTCTTCTACCAAACAACACAAACTTGGACCAATTGTCTCCTTCCTCAATTTCCTCGATTCGTATTCCCTTTTTCGTCCATAAATTCACCCCCATAAACCTCGGCCGCCTATCGATTCTGGCACTTGGCCCCAAAGACTCAACCCCCGCAAAACCTCGATCAATTTTTCATATTCGTCGCAAATTTCCGTTCCGGGTATTAAAATGCGGTGATTTTAGTAATTGCGACCGGAAACTCCGGTGGACACGTGATCTAGCGTTGCCGGGCAACGTCGGAATCTGAACAGACACGGCGACGCCATCTCCATGGAACTCGATTGAAAATAGAGGGCTGGAATAATTACAATTCCGGTGATTTTATCAATGAACGACTTCTGGATTTGTGTGAAATTCGGGGTGGGTTTTGGGGTTTTTTCTCTGATTTTTTTAAGGGGTTTGGGGGCAAAATTGTGGGGTTTTTGGGGGCGGTTCTTTACGTCGATGGAAGGGGTGTCTAACGCCGGCTGGAGGGTGAATTTAGTCAGTCTACGGCGTGGCACTGCTCCGTTCAGACTCTCGTCCGTCGACGTCAAAATTTACTAAAAAGGACATTTTTTAAGGACACGATGAAGACTTCGTCCTTTTCGTTGAGAGTCATGCGAAGGGTAAGGTTTCCTGTTGGATGTCGCTTCTTTTCCCCTTGAAAACTCTTATCAGTTATCACAGCTTTTGCAACACAATCGCAGCTTTCAGTGTTCAGTGTCGAAGCGACTAAAAATATTTAAGTTGAGGGGAGGGGGCAATCACTTTGATTGGATTTAATCACACTGGGCGGGGCTAATTAATGGCGATCGCAGGAGAGGTAAAAATTTTTTTCAATAAATTGTTAACATCGTATGCGCTGTTAATCAAGTAAGCGATGCAACAGGTGCCCGGAGCCAAGCGGTCTCATTGTTCCAGGTAATGGTCGTGAAGGCGCGGATCTCCTGAGGGGCGGTAACTAACGGTAATTCCGGTGCCCGGAATCGATAAAAAGCGACCCGATTCCGGTCACTATCAATTTACCGGATACGGTCCTTGTGTCGTGTTTGGTTTTATCGCGTGATTAATGGGCCACACTTCCGGGTTTGCTAATCCCGGATTTTTTTAAATTTATTCAGCCAACGAAAGTGGTGCTTTATACAACATTTTCATTATATCAAGAGTTTAAGAACTTGGGGAATTTAGTTTTTACTGAAATCGGTCTTATCGGGAAAGTTTGCTCGAGGGCTGATTGTAATCTCAGAAATTGTCTTAGAAGTTTGGACCATTTTGTTACTTTATTGTTAGGCCATCAAAATTTTATCTTATGAGTGTCATTTGTAATAATAAAAGTCGGTTTTCCGTTTAGTGTCTGAGTGTTTCCAAGGTTGGTAGTGGTGTCAATGACCGATAAATGTCAAACGTCAAGAAGGAAAAATTATAGGATTAATTAAAAACTGATTAAAGAAACTTTTAATTCTAAAATTAAGTTAGCAACTTTGCTTGAAATAAAGGGAGAAGATGGGAAAAAATCAGCAAAGTTCCTGAACGTGCGTTAGTAGTTATACTGTAATATGGAAAATAATTGTCAATTAAATGTAATGACAATTAAAAAACTGTCATTAGGTCTATTTAGAAAAATATTTGTCAAAGATGTCAAAATTTGATATTTCAAATTCTAAAATTTAAAATTTTGACTTTATGTTGATGTTCAGTTCAGAGCCAGAAGAAATAAATTGATGTATTGTTCGCTCATGACATATAAGTCCGTAAAAGTACTTTTTTTACAGTCTGTTGTTCTAATTAATAGACTGATTGTTTCGTTTACTTTACAGAAAATTTTGGAAAAAATTGTTTTGCAGCCTTAAAACAATCACAAAAAAATGTTTTTTTAACAAATTGTGTATTAAGAATAAAAACCACAGCTTATTTATTTTATTAAAACGAGAAACAGTTAACTTGAAAAAATGTGTACAATTCTAATTCCAAAAAAAATTCCATAGAAATATAAATATTACTAATATTTCAGTAATTTCATTAATCTATCGTAATTCCATTGTTTTCAGATTAATTCCTAGAATTACAAATTAATTCCGACAGTTCTAAGAAATTTAACGTAATTTTGAAAGGAAATTAACTCCGATAATTAAAAAAAAAAATTAGTAACTCCAGAAAAATTAAAAAAATATTTCACCAAAATTTCGGAAATTTCTATAATGCATTGTAATTCCATTTTTTCAGATTAAATCTTATAGCCCCAAATTAATTCCTGTAATTCCAACTTAATTCCAAAATAATTTTTGTAATTCCTAATTAATTCTGATAGTTTTAAGAAATTTAGCGACATTTTCTTATAATTCCAAGAAATTCTGTAATTCCAGATTTTTAATAATTCACAAATAATTCCAGTAATTCAAACAATCCAAGGATAATTTTAAAAATTCCAAATAATTCCAAGCAATTTTAATTAAATTCCAAAAATTTGTTCAACTAATTCCAATGTTTA